AGTGGGGGGGGGGGGGGTATATATATAAATAAATACAGTGCCTTGCGAAAGTATTCGTACCCCTTAATTTTTTCATGTTTTGTTATGTTGCTGCCTTATGTTAAATTGCTTTAAATTACGTTTTCCCCCATATCATTCTACACTCCATACACCATAATGACAAAGCAAAAAACTGTTTTTTAAGACTTTGCAAATTTATTAAAAATTGCATCTGGGACAGTTGAAATTTAGCTCAGGAGGATTCATATTGCTTGTAGATATTACCACACTTCAAGTGTTAAAGTTAACCTGTGGCAAATTCAATTGAATGGGTATGATTTGGAACGGCACACACATCTTAATAAAAGGTCTAACAGCTGAAAATGCATATCTGAGCAAAAACCAGGCCCTGAGGTCAAAAGAACTGCCTGTAGAGCTCAGAAACAGGTTTGCGCCAAGCCACACATCTGGGGAAGAGTTCAGAAGAACGTTCACCTTCCAACAGGACAACGACCCTAAGCTCACAGCAAGAGTGGCTTATTGACAACTCTGTGAATGTCCTTGAGTGGCCCAGCCAGAGCCTGGCCTGGAACCCAATCAAATATTTGTGGAGAAACCTGAAAATGTGCGTCTGCCCCCATCCAACCTGACAGAGGTGGAGAGGCGAGGAGAAGAATGACAGATAATTGCCAAATGCTGATGTGCAAAGCTTGTCGCATCATACCCAAAAAGACTTGAGGCTGTAAAGGTGCTTTAGCAATGTACTTATTTCAGTTTTTTATTTTATAATAAATTTACAAAGTTGTGACAGTTCTGTTTTTGCTTTGTCATTATGGTGTATGGAGAGTAGATTGATGTGAAAAAAAGGTATGAGAATACTTTTGCAAGGCACTATCTATGTGTGTATGTGTGTATGTGTGTGTGTGTGTGTGTGTGTAATATATATGAATACACACACACACACACACACATATATAAGATAGTAAAGACTTTCCACAAAAATATTATGGAGTGCAACTGTTTTTAACATTGATCGTAGTAAGAAATTGTTTCTTGAGTATCAAATCCGCATACTAGAATGATTTCTGAAGATCAGAGTAATGGCTGCTAAAAATTATTTGCCATCACAGAAATAAATTACATTTTAAAATGTAATAAAATAGAAAAGAGGGTTTTAATCGTAATATTGCACAATTTTACTGTTTTTACTTTATTTTTGATAGAATAATTAGCCATGGTGATAAGATACTTCTTTCAAAATTTCTTTCTTTAAAAATCTCAGTGATCCCAAACCTTTGAATGGTAGTGTACATTTTTGTGCTGCTGAAAGTTCGGGGTTTGTCATCACAGGAATAAATTACATTTGAAAATGTATTAAAATTGATAAGTTATTTAAAATTTTTATGATTTTTTTTATTTTTTTTATTAATCAAATAAATGCAGCCTTAGTAGACATAAGAGACTTCCATCAAGAACTTTTAAAAATATTACCCACCACAAACTGTTGAACAGTAGTCAGTGTCATCAGCTTTGTCCATAGAAATCAATGTATTTAAATTAGAGCGCTGTGTTCCAGCTTTGCTCCAAAGAGTCTGATGCTTTGAGGTACATTTCTGTGAGTCATGTGAAAGGGTCTTTACATCAATTATTTGTAATGTATAATCATTTGTTTATGTCCACATCATCTCTTTCTTCCCAACTAGAATATGTTGAGGAGACAAGAGGAGATGGAGAACGGAACGGCGTGGTCAAACTCTTCCGAATCCTCTGACGATTCCTCTAGTCCTCAGCTTTCCTTGGGAATGCGCCATGCACACAAGAACTTAGTACAGCCTGAGGTACAAACTGCTCCTCCTGCCATTGAAATCTCATTTGCAACCCGCGAATCGGCGACCTCTACTCCCACCCGCCTGGCCAATCAGAAAGAAGAGGACGAGGAGGAGGAGGAAGAAGAGGAGGATCTGAAGAAACCAACAGCCACCATAACAGTCACCACCGAGGCTCCTGTGAAACAGGAAGTGCCCAATGGCCATCCCCGCTATTCTCGCTCCCTTAGCCACATCAGCGAGAACAGCGCAGATGGTGTTTTGACAGATAGACTGGCTGGGGAATCCTTGGAGGCCCATGAAGTGACTTCAGTGGTCTCTTCGGTATTTGTAAGTGACATTGCCATGGATATGCCCCTCCGAGCGGAACCATGTTTTGTAGTACCAGACACTCAGGAGACCTGCCCCATTCCTGATCCCTCCACGAGTGAGCCATCCTGTCCCGCTGAGCCACTGAACTGTTCAGAAAGTAGCTCTCCTGCTTGTGACTCTGAAAAAGCTACAGAGCCCACGTCTAGGCCCACCTGTGGAGACAAAGACTCTTTCCCCAATGCTTATGCTTTGTCACAGCAGATGGACTCCGAGGATCCTAGGACTGATTCCTCTCATGAGCCACACCGCACAAAGACACAAACAGACGACCTGCTGGCAGAGAAGTCTGGTTCTTTAGTAGACACCAGACCCATGGGTGATTTGGAGGGACAATCAGCAGACAGCGGTTTGCAGGAGGCCCTTGGTGCTGTTTTGTCCTCCCTTGATGACTACAGAGGCCAGTTCCCAGAACTACAGGTCCTAGAGCAAGAGCTGAAGCTGTTGGAGGAGGCACTAACAGTGAGTGCTCAACCTTATTGTTGTGGGTTAGGGTTGGTAAAATTGAATTTTTTTTTGGTCCGGATCTATTTTATTCATGAATACAAAAAAAAATGCAATTCAAAACTGTTCTTCTTTGAAGAGTATGTTTTGTATTTCTGTATTAAAAATGTTTTTCAAAAAAATTAGTTTGAAGGAAAATCCAGTTGAAAATGTCAGGGTGATAAAATGTCCTGGAGGAAAAACCTTCTGAAATTCTTGAAAAGAAAACTGTATTAAATAGTTGGGCATAGTCGTTTATTATTACTACTTAAAAAGATGTTCTTACCAAAACTACTCAATATTTGAAACTGCTACTTAATATTTGAAAGAAAAAATTGTCTACTAAGTCATGTGGTGACACCGTCATGCGATGCAACCAACATACAGAAACAACATCCTCAAAAAATTATTGAAAACATTTTAATAACAACAAAGGTTATCCTGATGTGTAGACTCAAGATGTATTTAAGTTGTGTGGAAAATGTTATAACTTTTTACACCACATGACATTTTTATGATTTAAATTTGACCCATTTGTTGTGTCAGTATATGCACCATTACTTTCAAATCAAGTTAGATATCTAGATCACCATCTTTGATCAACATTTCAAAACTTTTATGAGTTGGAGAAGGTCAAAGAGGTTGAAAGTGAAGAAAATGCAGCATTAAACTCCCTCCTTTCCAGCATGCAGTTGAGGGTTCACAGATTTAGGGTGTAACACTTCCTGGCTGCCTTAGATTCACGATGTTTTGGTCACAGAAGCCTTTGGTTATTGCTCGAATCCAAGCCCTACGATAACTATCAAAGTCTCAGATCCGGGTTTGGGTCCAAAAACTTTGGTCTTCATCAGTGGAACAATAGAGTTAATCAAAGACATGACCTTTGCTTTCACTATTAACCGCTTCATCCTGTGTCTACAGAGAGGTTTTCCTGGCACAACTTAGCTTAGTCATAGAATAAACACAATGTGTCTTTTCCAGAATTGGATTTATTAATGTTCCAGGTTATATAATTTAATTGTCTACTGACAGTGTCTGTGTCATGTTGTGGATTAACAGATATAATTGTTCCTCTATTTGTAAAGACAAACACTGCTTTTGAAGTATTGCATTTTCCTTAGAAGTGTTTTGTTTAATGTATTCACGAGAGTTTAATATCAGAAACGTGCATATTTGATGAAAGATTAGACTTAACTTGCCCAGACAAGGTTAGTTAACTATTCTGTCACAAAAGCCTCATGTTTACAATCTTTTGACTACTTTTGTGCATTCTGACACATATTGTGATGTGAAGTCTTGCCCCAATATACACTAGAAATGCTTTATTGTAAATGTGATTTTTGCTTGTTTTTACAAGTCAAAAATGTTTTATGAGGTAATTGACATTATCTTGTAAACAACTAATACTTGAACGTTAACTGTAAAGCCTTAAATTCTGGGGTTTCTTTTAGCTAATAGTTTAAATGTCATTTGTAATAACTTTGTGATACATTATATACTTTAAAATCAAGAGTTTTTCATTTGTAATTTTGCAAATGTGTGTATCTGCAGGTACGGAGTCGTAGTCGCTCATCCAGCATCAGTTTGACGGTTGAGACGGCTCTAGGGAGCTTTGACTTCCTTAATACATCAGACCTGGAGGAAGAGGAGGAGGATGGCGAGAGGCAGAGCGTGACAGACAGGTCAGAACTCAAGAAATGTTTCATCTTTCTGCTGTCAAATGATATTTTATAGCACAAAAAGAAATTAAGGTTGTTTCATCAAAATGCATTGCTTCTATAATGTTATGTTACACTACTGCCACCTAGTGACTTGAAGGAGAACCGTTAGTTTGAGTGACTGATTTCACAACTTTATCTATTCAATCCCAACTACTTTTTTCTGAATATATTGTGTTGTCATTTTCTGACTTGTGTTTGTTCTCATGTGTGTTGTGATGGATACAGCGCAGAGGAGCGGCCAGCGGCAGTGGAAAGCGCAGGAGAGGATGAGGGCTGTGAAGCGCAAAGTTGGGATACTCCCTCCGGTCCTTTTAGCACAGGCTGCCCGACTCTAAATCACACCCTGCTGGTTCATCTGAAGAACTGCAGCTCACAGCTGCTGGTCAGTTACTGTACTCTTATTGTACTAGATATGGACATTAAGTCCCATATACAGGGGGAACAACTTGAAATACTGAGAATGCAGAATTCAGAATTCAGTTCATTTTTCTATGGCATTGAATATACGAGTAAATACATAATCCCCCAGTTTCACACACAAGACTTAAGGCTAGTCCCAGACTAAAATGCATGTTTGAACTCTCAGCTGAAAATATCTTGCTCTGACATATCTTAAAATATGTCAGTGCCATTGTTCTGTCTCAAGATGCACACCTGTAACGTTTTCTTGCAAGGCATTTTTATGAAAGCTTAAATATCTTAATTTAACCAAGGCTTAGTCTTGGCTGCCCCATCTGTGATACCAGGCCTATAACTAACAAGTTTTAAGCCCAAAAAAATGTTAAAACTTGACGTGCTCTTGAATAAAAAAAAAAAAATGATGTCTAAAATTATAAGGTATGTTCAAACAAGTATAATTGTCTAAAATTTAAACTTGAGTGTTTATAAATATATATCTATATGTGTTTAATTAGGATTAATTAATATATGTTGTATTAGAAAATGGTTATTTTAAATTGTAACAAATTGTTTTTGCTGTATTTGCTGTACAAATTAATGCAGCCTTGGTGAGCATAAACTTTTCGTACTTTCATACTATAACTATTTTTTTTTTTACACCGTGGACAGTTTTATTATTGTTTTAAGCATAAATATGTATGTATGTATTTTAAGTTGGTACTGTTTTTCAAATGGAGATCACAAACAGGATACAGACTATTTTCCTTCCAGAGTGTTCATTTTTAAAAGCAAAAAAACTGAATTCTGTCCTTTTTTCTGTTGCCTTCAACATAAGTGTAAATATATTTCAACCAACAGAAGTCTGAGCATCTGTATTCATACTCTGTGTTTTGTTTTTGTGAACAGAGGTTAGGCACATTCGGGCCTCTGCGCTGTGGGGAGATGTACGCTCTGGACCGACTTCTCAGGGAGGCCAGAGTCCTCGAGCTCATACGATGGGTTGTGAAGGACGAGAGGGGCGAAGTCATCCAACCAGAGGAAGGTGAGTCTCAAACTGTTATAATGCTTTAGTTTTGTTGACTTTGCATCAGCCTCTGTGGTGTTTTAGTTGTATCTTACCTGTGCACTCATTTCTTTGCAAATGCTCATCTTTGCAAATGCAATGTTTTTCATGCACCACAGGCCTTACATTCTACAACAGAATGATTTTTTCCTCACAACCTTCTCTATTTCCCACATTCTCTTTGCATGTCGGAGCAGTTGTTCCTCAGTTAGATCAGTGCCAAGGGGCTGTGTTGCTGTGGAGGCAGTGCACGGATGGCTGCAGCGTCTACAGCACCTCCACAGAGGCCTTCTTACAGGCACTCAGCAACACTTACGCCAGCAGACTCCCTGAGAGAGGAGCCGGATTCACAGACACAGGTATGTGTGTGTGTTGTGTATTAATGCATGAACAAGCACTGTAAATGAGTTATTGGGAGATGGGTTTCTAAATTGAAATTGCTGTACAATCCTTTAATCAACATAAATTACAACCTTAACTTCCTGTATTTCATCTCCGGGATTTAATATCCTGCTAATCATTGTTTCTGATGACACCGGGTGTAATTAAAAGTGTGTGCATTTCAATAGACTAAATCTAATTTTCTTTGACCCTCTGTGACACTGAACTTGTGTGTGTGTGTGTGTGTGTGTGTGTGTGTGTGTGTGTGTGTTAGTGTTTCTGCGTCTGCTGGAGCGAATCCTGGAGAGGAAGTTGCCCAGGCGTGCAGGAGGTCCGTCCAAAGAGACTCTCACACTCTTTCAGTTTTGGAGCTACCTGGAAGCAGAGGGGGTGAATGACTTGGACACACACATTCCTGAGCTGGCTGAAGAAGGTATGTTTGAGTGTCATAAAAACGGCTGTTCACATGGACAGCAGTTTGCAGCGAAAAAAAAAAGATCGGAAGTTGTGCATCCACTTCATAACATCATATTTTTGTCTTGTTTTCCAATAAAGGACAAATTAAATAGATCAAAAAGTGATAGTAAATAGATGCCATTTTTAACTTTCTATTTATCAAAGAATCATGGAATAATAGTAAGACAAAATGTTTCTTGTGCACCAAAACAGCATGTTAGAATGAATTCTGAAAGATCATGTGATCATGGCTGCTGTAGATTAAAATGGAAAACAATTATTTTAATTTGTAATAATATTCTGCAGTATTACTCTTTTAACTGTATTTTAGAACAAATAAATGCATCCTCTGTGAGCAGAAGAGACTTGTTTTAAAAATACAAAAAAATCTTACCAACCCCAAATTTTTAAGCAGTAGATTTATTTATTTTTAGCCCATAGAGAGTTTTATTATTGCCGTAAGCATAAATCTAAAAATAATTTTTTAAGTGGATCCTTAAAACAATAAAACACTGATTATCAAACGCATTCTTGCCACTGGTGTTCTGGCCAGAAAATGTTTAGTGTTTTGTTTTCAAAATAGTATGACATCTTATTTTTTTACCTGCATTATATCCCATATATTCATGATCGTATTTTAAGAATGAGTTCAGTAGCAAAAATAGCTACTTTGACCAACAATGCAGCCACCTCCTGTGCTAAAATTGCTTTCATTGTAACAAGATTTGAGTTTGATGCTTGATGCTTGACAGAGAATACCATCTGAAATGTGATTTGAATGCAAAATCCAGTTTGCGTTGAAATCTTTCCACGTCATTAGAAATTGAGAACTCGCACTGAAAATGAACAATGTCTGGCCGTTGCAGATTGTTTTAAGTTTGAACGCCCCCTAAGTGTTAATGGACTATACTCGTCTATCCTCAAACATTCATTAGCAAGAGTGATTGTGTTACAAATCTATAGAATCAAGACCTCCCGTCCCAAACGCCCCAATTATCACCCCATTCCACTTCTCAGTAGTTGTGGTTTCTTGGTGCATCTTTCCATTCCTCCCCCATCTAATGTTCTCTCAGCAGTGTATCAGTTTCATCCATGTCTCTCTTTCGTTCTCCTTCTCCTACAGTGTGGCTAGTTCAGTGCCTGCATTCTGGAGATCAGGATGTTGTGGTAAAATCTTTGAAGAAGCCTCCAGAGTGCAGTCTGAAGAGGGAGGGCTTGCGTGCAGTCAGTCTGCTGCTGAGGGATCCGAGGGGGAAAGTGTGCAGTGCAGCCAGCTCCCTGCTGCGGAGTCTAGCTGACCAAACCCGCCACAGGGAGAGGGTGAGATATGTGCAAACTCTACAAACTTCTGTTTGTAATTTTGGAGGTGACCGTTTCAGCAGATTTGCTGCATATAATAGTAAAGTATAGACACCAATATAGGCAAAATACTTTTCTACAACAGTAACAACTTTAAGTATGAGAACACATGGTGTTTAAGATCATGAGAAACATTAGACATCTGTAAAATGTGTCCAGCGTTTTTCACTTTAAATGTTTAAACACTTTAAATTTTCCATATTTTTTACCTGTCATCTAATGCCAAGGTTATTTTTTTTAATTCATTTTCCTTACTTGAAATAAAATAAACATTAACTTAAATAAAATAAAATATAAAAAAACTTTTATTTTTAGTTAAATTTGAAGTACTAAATAACTACAACAAAATAACATTTAAATAAACAAAAGCACTAGACATATTTAAAATAAAAATGAATACGATTATTATTACACAATACACAAAAAAAATATTAAAACTTTACAATTAAAATAAAAACAGATAAAATAAAAATAATGCTAAATATTAACAAGAACTATAATAGTATATCAATAAAACTAAAATAACACTAACACTTAAAGTCAGTCTTTAAAAATAATAAACTAATAATTTAGTTTTTAGTTTTACATTTTATTTGGAATGTATTTAGGCAAAATAGTATAGAATTTTAATTCTGACTATTTATCTGTTATCTGCCATCAGCCATAACATGAAAATGATTTTGACCTGGACAGGTTTTTATTTTTCTTGAAAATACTACATAATGTTATCGCACTGGACTAAATATTACTAATTTTGCTCACACAGGATATAACAACTTCCCCCTCAAAAATTTGATTGTTTTGACCTTTTCCCATCTTTTTACACTTGTCAAAAATGACCTGCCTACAAAAAATTGCTTATAAATATCTTATGTGGAATTATTACAAAAAATTTGATTCATATTCAATAATGATTTTTTTCACTCAAAAACTGAGATGCATCAGCTGTGTTCAGTAAGTTCCAAAACGAAATACAAAACATGTGCTAATTAGAGATGTACAAGTAATTATTCAAAGGCAGGTTATTTTTCACATAAAACACCAAATTAGGTAAAGGAATTATTATGCACATTGCAAGGGTTAAAGGGATAGTTCACCCAAAAATGAAAATTTGATGTTCATCTGCTTACCCCCAGAGCATCCAAGATGTAGGTGACTTTGTTTCTTCAGTAGAACACAAACAAAGATTTTAACACAAGCCGTTGCAGTCTGTCAGTCTTATAATGGAGGTGAATGGAATCACGGCTTTGAGAGTAAAAAAAAACATACACAAATTAAACCCTGCGGCTCGTGATGATACATTGATGTGTCTGTCCTGAGCGTGTCGTCCTGAGCGCGTTCTCAACAGCAGAGTGCCTGCTGTTGAGAACGCACTCAGGACAGTTCGAACAGTTCTCACATTGCATGAATCAGAGGTAAAAAACGATATAAATACTGTTCAGTTTCTTGCACAGAGCGATCGTTTTGTGTCTTTACACATCAGTGTATCGTCACAAGCCGCAGGGTTTAATTTGTGTATGTTTTTTTGACTCTCAAAGCCGTGATTCCATTCACCTCCATTATAAGACTGACAGACTGCAACGGTTTGTGTTAAAAATCTTGGTTTGTGTTCTACTGAAGAAACAAAGTCACCTACATTTTGGATGCCCTGGGGGTAAGCAGATAAACATCAAATTTAAATTTTTGGGTGAACTATCCCTTTAATATTGGCGCATCCCTAATCGTGACTGTTTAGTGCAAAGTGAAGTTGTAATGCTTTGTTATTCAGAAAGGATTTTGATTTGATCCACTCAGTGTCTCTCGTTACTGTTCTGTCTCAGGCGCTGGTGAGCTGTCTAGAGTTGCTGGAGGATGAAAGTGTTGAGACGCGGGTGTGTGGATGTAAAGCACTCGCATGTCTGAAGGTCAGTTCATGCATGGTGTAGAACCATCTCAAGGATGCTCAGAAGAAATGGACAGCACCTGAGTTAAATATATGAGTGTCACAGCAAAGGGTCTGAATACTTAGGACCATGTGATATTTCAGTTTTTCTTTTTTAATAAATCTGCAAAAATGTCAACAATTCTGTGTTTTTCTGTCAATATGGGGTGCTGTGTGTACATTAATGAGGAAAAAAAAATAGCTTAAATGATTTTAGCAAATGGCTGCAATATAACAAAGAGTGAAAAATGTAAGGGGGTCTGAATACTTTCCGTACCCACTGTATATACGTATATATGCTTGCATAACATCAAGAGCCTGGTGGTTAGATGTGCTCTAGTAATCTGAGTGGGAATCAGATTGTATGCAGCATCACACCTCAGTGTTGGTGGAGGATTGTAAGTAAAGTGCCCTGATGTCTGTGTTTGTGCATCACAGGCCAAAGAGAGCATCGAGCAGCTGGTGTATCTGTGCCGGACAGATAAGGAGGATGTGAGGGATGCTGCCAAACAAGCTCTGCTTGTTCTAGGTAAGCAGTGGACTAAACAACAGGAAATGAACCCATGAAGGAAAGATCGGTAATGAAAGTGAAAGAATGGATCTGCTGCAAATTAGAGCTGCACGATTAATCGTTAAAAGATGGCGATCTCGATTCAGACAACCACACGATCTCATTTCTAAATGACAACGATTCTCCCGTGTCTATTAAACCTTTGACAAAGTCTTACCGGATCATTCAGATCTGCGTTCGCACTGCCGCTGACACACAGAGAGCAGTTACCATGTTTGGTTAAGAAACAGCTTCACAAACAGTCTTTTCAACTACACAGTATTATTTCTGTCGTGCAGTCATTCATATTATCACAGAAATACTGGGATGAAAGTTTATAATTCAGATATAAACATTGATGTCTATGGTAGCGCGACCAAAATAGAGCAAATCCACGTTTGAAAGTAACTGCCACATAACGTTTGTGTCGATTGCATTGTTTGTGTCGATGTACATTTTTTAGTGACTTCAAAAATGTATAATTGAATGAATCATTTATTCAAGAGAATCGTTCAAAAATGCTGATTCATCCAGTAGGTTTATGAGTGAGTCGTTGAATCATTGATTCAAACAACTTTTTCATAATTTTAATATTAAATTGGTGTATTAAATATATTATATTTTAAATACATATACAATACAATACATACACTACCAGTCAAAAGTTTTTGAACTGTAAGATTTTTAATGTTTTCTTTTAAAGAAGTCTCTTCTGCTCACCAAGCCTGCATTTATTTGATCCAAAGTACAGCAAAAACAGTAAAATTTTGAAATATTTTTACTATTTAAAATAACTTTCTATTTTAATATATTTTACAATGTAATTTATTCCTGTGATTTCAAAGCACCATTTATCTGAAATATAAATCTTTTGTAACATTATAAATGCCTTTATCATCACTTTTGATCAATTTAAAGGATCCTTTCTAAATGAAAGTATTCATTTATATACCCCCCCCCCAAAAAAAAAACCTGACTCCAAGCTTTTGATTGATAAATGCAGGCTTGGTGAGCAGAAGAGAATTCTTTAAAAAACATTAAAAATCTTACTGTTCAAAATCTTTTGACTGATAGTGTATATTAAAATGTTTAATGCTTCATTCAAATTAATGAAACACTTTTAAATAGACTGCAGCAATCATATTTTGCCACACATTATTTTGTTTAGCTCAGAATCATGGGAGAATCATGATCTCTATTTGAGACAACAAAAAAAAATCGTGATTCTCAATTTATCCAGAATCGTGCAGCTCTACTGCAAATGTGTTCCAACTGTGTTCATGGAAAACTTGCAAAGATCAGAGAATTTAAAAATGAATTTCCAGGCTGTAATAGACAGGGAAATTTGCGATATTTTTATAATGAATGTATAACTTTGTACTTATTTTCAGCTGAAAAAAATGTTATGTGTCAAAAAAAGAATTGTAGTCATTTTAAACCAAAATGAAGAAGAAAAATATAGTAATTCATGATTACATTTAGTATTTATTTTAAATTAAATGCATAAAAATGAATTGGTCAAAAGGTATTGATACTTTAGAAGGAAGGACAATGTCTCTTATTTGCGTTTCATTTGTTTTAATTGCAGGTGAGGAGGGGAAGATAGCCCATCGACACCTTGAGTCCTCACAAGATGGAATGTCCCGGCTGTTTGCGCCCGGCAGCATGACCAGTACAGCTTTCTAACACAATTAGCTGACCGATACTTGTACTTGCGTCTCAGTATCCTCACTGTCATGATCATGCCAATTACAAACTTTAAATGCACACTATTAAAAAAACTATCAAACAGTTTTAATGACACAAATCAGCATTGTCCTCAAAGACGTGGACGGATGTTATACAATCATTGGACAAGAGGTCTTGTATGTCAGCTTGTATGCTCTTAATATTTTGGATATGGCCTAAGATAAACTACTGTAAAGTGATGAGGTAAGATACATGGTGGGAATGGGTTTATAAATAATGTTTTGCTGCCTTAAGATTCAGCCCAGTGATGTTGCCTTCATGATTCATGGAATGAAGCTAGACCCTGATCAGCAAAACAAGCGATGGGAGATAAAGTGTGGTTTTCACTTTATTGGTGCAAGTAAGGCAGTGAGTACCTGCAGAGTACATAGAGAATCTGATTGTCCACTTTAAGAGTATTTATGTGTGTGTACATAATGTTTGGAGAATGTATGTTGGTGGCTGAGGGGGTCTCCACCTAGAAACGTAGGATGGGGATCTTGGAAAGTATTTCCTTATTAATCCCAAACTTTCATAGGGACCTTGTTGCCATAGTAACAGTGCCATTCCATACTGTCATATGCTTTATTGATACAGAATATATATCTATATTCCAATTGGAAGTGTACATGTTTTGTGTTGTAATTTAGTTTAAATGCTCAATAGCCAATACAGATCTGATTTGATTCACCATTCACTTCACGTTTAAGCCACTGGCATTGTAATACCTGCTGTAAAAGTGGTGAAGCTGTTCATTTTTTTATTCATTTTTGAAGGTGTCATCATTATTATGAGTGAAAGCTGTAAACTGTAGTGAATATTGCCTTTTGCAAGAGGTTCCGACAACCGTTCCACGCTCGTGATCTGTAGAATGGCCATAGATCATGTTTGACTCAGAGCATTTCTCCAGTGCTGCTAGACAGAAAGGTTCTGAGTTGGAACCAGAGAAGGTTCGTTCATTTTTACATAACATTATTTTCTAGTTGAATCTGTTCCAGACTTAAATATGACAAAGAACGCCTCTTCAGTGTATAAGTGCCTCAAAGTAGTATTGGGAGCAAGAGAATGAGATAGACTTTATTTAAAACTCAACACTCTGTGGTTTAGGATTGCAAACTGCAGAACAGATTTAAATATATTTTTCATTATCTACAGATTGTGCAGCATTAAAGAAGTGATTTACTTTTGATTTTTTTTATTTTCTCTAAATATGTATATTGTCTGACAAGGATATTGCTGACATCAACTGTAAAGGAAACTATTAAAATTATGGACACTAAAACTTGGGTGACTTATTTATTAACACATTTGATACCTGTTATTTGTACTTTGTCACTAAGAAAATTGGAAAATAAAAGAATTACATAATTGAAGCATTTACACTTTAATACATGCATGCTCAAACAGTCATTATCAAGGAAAAAAATAGTATTACATAACAGAGACTAGGTTTCAATAGTTTGTTTAAAACAGGGTTCCTACCATAGACTGTATAGGTTCCTACATGATATTTTCATAAAAACATTTTCACAAGGTTTGTTTTTGATGATTGGCTACAGATTTTTAAAAATAAGTTTAGAGAAAAAAGATGTAAAATCACACGCACATACATTCTATATATATATATATATATATATATATATATATATATATAAACAGGCTCTCACACTATCATTCCCTCTTGTTTCTAATTTGTGCTGTTAAACTATCATATTATCTTCTAATATTGTGATAAGAGGATCAGCTGCAATGTTTAACATAATATTATACATAAACATTTTACTCAACACTTTTCTTAAAAGAAAAAAAAGAAAAAGAAAGCCCACATCCGTAATTCAAAAGTAGCGCCCCACACGGCCAATCCGCACACTGCTTGTGTTTACAGCCCTCCCCCACGCCACCGCCCCCCTGCGTGATGCGCATGCGCAACAGCCGTTAAGGGCCGCCATTTTGTGCGGAGCCTACTCTGCAAAAGCGGGAGAGGATTAAAACCGTCGGAGGTGAAGGACGCAATTTTACTCCGTCTCGTACTGGAGGAAGAACAAACCCTGGGCTTTCTGTCGAATTCAACGCGAGAGTAAATCACCAAACGCAGGTAAAACAGCACTACTTTTCCGAAAGGGGGGAGTTTTGCAGGAGCTTTAATCGGCCTCTAGGTGTCACGATGGGGCTCCCAGTCCAGGCGGCTGGCGGGGGGTGTTTGTCTCCCTCTATCGTTATCGAAAATTTAGCAAAAAACATTTATAACCCAGAAGTTCGGGCTCCAGCCCGATTATTAAGCACTATTGAAACTATATCAGACAGCATTTCACCAAGATGCCATTATTTAACGACAGGATGTTTGATTCAATCTTTAGGCCAGGCGTCCATTTTCTGTTTCTTCTCTTTGTTTCCTGTCTTTAGAAACCCGCCGTTTCTGCACGCGCACTTAGCCAACCAGCTAATATGCGTCTCAAAGTTAACCCATTTCCAGTCTTGCCACACCCAAACAGCTTAAAACAAGCATCTAAATTCACTAACGTCAAATTCGCGGGGTTTTAAGCGGAATATGTGCGATTTAAAGCCGTAAAATACATTTTAGCTCGCGCTTATCGCCGTGTTCGCGCCCCTCGAGCAGTTAAATTCAAACCCGAGTCGATGAAACATTGACCCGGTTCGGCGATAATAAAGTCCCATCACTGCGGCCTGTGTTCGCTCTTTGGTCTTTTTCACTCCCGGAATCCAAAATGATAGGTTTAAATGTAAATATATAAACATTTAAATGCCTCTTTGGCGGTTTAGCATTCGTTCTGCCGCAGATGCTAGCGTATTGCGCAGATTAAAACCAAACGAGGAAGATGTTGCTAAATGACACCGATGGCCATTTTCGATAACACCGAGCCTCGCCGCCGTGCACTTCCAGAATCCCGTTGTTTATCGCCTAAAAACGCCGCTGAATCGCCTGGGTCTCGGTGCGACCGCTCGCTCTAATCGAAAGACCAACCTCGAGCAACAAACGACTGAAGGGATAAAAACTGTAGAGAGCTCCCTCTACAACCCAACTGGTAGTGGTACAAAAACACGATTAACCATGTCAGAATGCCCTCTTGCTGTGGAAAATCATAAGGGTGTGTTAAAACGTGTAAGTTAAAGGTAAGGATAGTGGACACATTTGCACCGTTTTGTCGGTTTAATGGGTTGGTGGCCAAATGCGCGCGATCATGAGGAAGTAGAAATGAATCGGTTCAGATGACATTTCTGGCGCCGAATCAAGTGTTCAGTACGTGGTTTTGGTATAATGAAAGTCACGTTAAAGTTTTGCAAGTTTGCCGAGGTTTATTGTTAGTGTTAAGCAACTACCAGATATAAGTCACTTTGTGTGCGTGTAATGTGTAATATATGTATGTATGCACAAAAATGGGTGTCAATCAAGCGTTGACTAGTGTGACCTGTATACTAAAAGTCTGTTTTGTTTTGGGCATTGATGACTTGATTTGTTTGCATCCCTACAGGTTGAGCTAGGTAGTAAGAAGCAAAGTTGAGACAGGTAGTTCGTTCATCGGACTCAGAAAGTGGTGGAGGCACAGGTGTAGAGAGATGAAGTATTCATTTTTGATACAGGTAAAATCACAGTATGCTATACAAACACAGAAGTCTTGGATGTCTATGGTAATCCCAACTCAACTCTATTGTTCACCATTTGTAAGGTTGATAGCAGACTCTGTCTCAGTATTAGAAATCGACCGATATATCGATTTACCGATATTTTCCCTGATATTTAAGCATTTTACCATAGTCGGATATAGGGCTGGACGATATGGCAAATTTATATCACAATATATTTCTTAATTTCAGTCGATACGATATAATACCGATATGAACACTATTTTTAAAAAAGCCTCGTAAAAACTGCCAAGAATGCCACAACAGATGTCTGTGCATATAAACTTATGAAAAATGAATTTGCCAAGTCTCTGACACCTCATATACAACCATATAATATTTTAGAAAAAAAAAACCTAGCACAAATAAATTAATGTTCACCTTTTATTTGTATTTAACCTTCATTCAAACAAGAAATATTTGCTGCTCAAAAATCATTTATTATTATGATGTTGAAAACAGCCAAGTAGAATTTTTTCAGGTTTCTTTGATGAATAGAAAGTTCAGAAGAACAGCATTTATCTGAAATAGAAATCTTTTGTGACATTATAAATGTCTTTATCATCACTTTTGATCAATTTAAATCATCCTTGCTAAATAAAAGTATTAATTTCTATAATTTCATACTGACTCCAAGCTTTTGAATGGAATAGTGTATAATGTTACAAAAGGTTTTTATTTCAGATAAATGCTGATCTTTAGGTCTTTCTATTCATCAAAGAATCCTGGAAAAAAAAAATTTAAATATTGATGAGCATCATATCGGCATATTAGAATGATTTCTGGATCATGTGACACTGAAGACTGGAGTAATGATGCAGAAAATTCAGCTTTGATCACAGAAATAAATTACAATTTAAAATATATTCAAATAGAAAGCAGTTATTTTAAATAGTAAAACATTTTCAATGTTTTTTTGCTGTACTTTGGATCAAATAATGCAGGCTTGGTGAGCAGAAGAATTCTTTAAAAAAACAAAAATTAAAAATCTTACTGTTCAAAAACTTTTGACTGGTAGTGTAGGCTGATAGTCAGTATAAAGAGTATGAAAAGTGCAAACTGATTGTCTGCCAGCAGGAGGTGCTTTAAGAGCGGTTG